GACTTCAAATTTGTGGGGACCTGTATGGCTTGTTGGAATCCATGTTAAGACTAGTTTCTGACTAAGCTGCTAATTGTTTGGTATCCTAGCGAGTCATTTTGTGAAAAAATTCGCCAAGTTTAAGGATTAGCAATCACGAAACAATCTGCTTAGTAAGTTTTGGGACACGAAGGTGTTTATTGACAATTGTAGCATTGAAAGCCTTTACTTCTTCGAACTCTTAAGTATGCGCTTCTAGCTGAAGATTTTCTAAACCAAACAGCGACTTTTTTCAGAAAACAATTCTTTTGACACACACAAAACCGTTTCCTTCAAATTCAGATTCTAATTTAAACATTAAAAATACAAATTCAATTGATTTCTAATCAGACACCACCTTATTTTACTTAGTTGTAATTATGTTAGCTAAAGGAGCTGTTGAGAGTATGATAATCTGCATGAGTGCTACAGTCTTGGAACATATTTTGGAAGACAATCAAAGGAAGAGAAGAAGAGATGTGGGAAAAGAATTAGTTGAAATAGGAAAAAGAAAAAATGGTTACTTTTTCCTGCTTTTCCCCCCAGTTAAAACCTTTTTGGTAATGTGGAAACTTAGTGAGCTGAAAGATTTCTTTTGGTTTCTTTCTTGGGTTTGTTTTCCAGGGAGAACCATTGTGTATTTTCTATTCCAGATATGGGATCTGCAAATTTGGCCCAAGTTGCAAGTTTGATCACCCAATGACGGTTTTCACTTATAGTATCTCAGCATCATCTACTACTGATGCTCCTACAGTTCAGCGTCTATTGGGTTCAACATCAGGAACCAGTGCATTGACCTTGACTTCAGATGGGCTTGTTGAAGCAGTGTCCACGAAGCCCAGGCGACTGTCACTCTCAGAAACAAGAAAGATGCCACCTGGTGATAATAACATTGACAGAGAGGGATGATTTTTATCCCCCCAATTACCAGCCAGCATCATCATTTTCTATCTTTTTGAGAATCAATAACAGTTGCCTGTAAATTCTTTTCCATCGGTGGAGATGTACAGAATCCAGTAAAAGTCAATTTATTCTTCTGAAAATACATTTCAGTTGACAAGGTTGACATCTCTGTACTTCACTTTGGAGCAATGTATAAATCTGCCGATGTTGGCACAAATTGGTGAATCCAACTGTTAATTTGTAATCTGCCTAAAGCCCTCTACCTTTTTATGTGAATCAATTTGACCCCCCTAATCTCCTGTATGAATCATTGGTTTCCTCTATTGTATCTGGCTCTCTGGTACTTTTTTGAATACCAGAGAAGGTTGTAAATGATCTAAATGTCTAATTCTCGTACCTTGAAGTTGTTCTAGACATATGTTGATGACGTGCTTTGCTTATAATTATTATCAATGACCAGAGTTCTAAAGGTATCTCATGGTTATTAGCTGTTTTTTCTCGTCATCAGAAAAGAAAATAGCAATTTACCCCTTCGAAGTATTATGATTAACTGAACTTTTTGTTCTATTTTTCTCTTTATTTTTGGCAGATATTATCTTTGCAGGTTTTGTGTGAGGTAACTTGTGGTGATTGCAAACATAAATCATGTCCATGGATCTTTCTCTGCCTGTTCGGTGCACTATTATGATATTATCTGGTAAACTGGAATTGTTAGGGGCTCACTGAGGAAAACACGGCACCTAGGTAGGTAGAATAGTTTTCATCATGGAAGTGGTGACTCTTTCTCCAACTTAAAGAAGTTTTTTAACAGTCCCCTATGAATTTTCTGTATTACAGTGATCGGAAAAGGAAGCAGCATATTCCATCAGGAAAGCAGTTAATAATGGTAAAAGAGATGTAACCTCTTAACTTAAATTTTGCATTTTCTGTCCTTCATCCTCTTTCCTTTGATAGTACAGTTTAGCTTTTCCATGTATATCTGTTTCTCTCAAAAATAGAATTGAATTTCAAGAAAGAAAGTACTTGTGTTTAAGTCATGGAGAAGATTTCTGCCTTGTAGGTAGCTACTTGTGTAATTGTACCTTTTTCTCTCTCAAACAAACCCGAAAACTAGTTCCGCATGATTTATGTTCAGCAGTTTTATTTTGTAGGCTACAGGATTACCACAATTGTCATCCAAGAAGCTCCAGAATATTGGCGGATCTCGTCCCTAGGTCCCAAGGTGGCACATATCTGTGGCAACAAGATCATCTCTGAAGAGAATAACTTGATCAAATAGGATGTCATTGCTTTTTTGGGTGCAGTAAGACATCTTACAATCTGTGCAACTTACTAATAGGAAGCTAGAGCTCTCTAGTGATCCGTGAAACATCTGAAGTTTTAATTTACTAAGAGCCTGTTTGGCCAAGCTTGTGGGACGCCAAAAGTACTATTCTTTTGTAAAAAAAAAATACTTTTTGAAAAATTTAAGGTGTTTGGCCAAAATGAAAAAGTACTTTTGAGCAGCAGCAGATGCAGCTTTTCTGCTTTTGGGGAGAAGCTATAAATTCTAGCTTCTTCCAAGAAGCAGAAACAGAAAATTAATTTGTTCAAGACAAAATACCCTTACAGTAAATTTATATTTTTCAAAATATCCCTCATTAATTTAACATTTTTCTTTTCTTTTCTTTTTTCTTTTTATTTCTACTATACATTTCTTCTCTTTTTTATTTTAATCATATTTTTATTCTCTTTCTCCTATTCCTAAGAGTAGATTTTAAATTTATATTGCATGATGTATTTTGACATATTTAAATTATCATGTAAACAATAAGTACTATCAAACACTCAATGTTAATGCTTTGGAATAGCTATATTTTATATTGATTGAAATTTTTTATTTATATAAGTACTATCAAACACTCAATGTTAATGCTTTGGAATAGCTATATTTTATATTGATTGAAATTTTTTATTTATATTTTTACTTTATGTTGTATATTTTAATTGAATTCCTTTATAACAAATGTTTAAATTTATTTTTCTTTTCTAAATAATACTAATCGCAAATTGAACCTTTACTGCCCTTTTTGTAATTTGATACTTAAAAGTATTTTTTTAAAAGATCGGCCAAACACAATGAGCTTGCAAAAAGCACTACTCAAATGAATTGGCCAAACACAAACTGCGATTTTGCAAAAGTACTTTTTCCAAAAACACTTTTGAACAAAAGCACTTTTCAAATTACGTAGTTTTTGGCAGCTTGGCCAAACGGACTCTAAGTGAGATGTACCATGATGCGCTGACGTTGAAGTAGTCAACCTTGTAATTTGACACTAAACCAGAGGATATTTAACCTAGTACCCCATTGTCCTAGATGAGAATCGGATTTGGCAGGAAGACGTAAGCTCTAACAAGTCTCTGATCCAATGTAGAAATTTCTGTCTTGACCTAATAAAGGAAGATACTTTTGTGAATTCATAATCAGTGGATTTATTGATGCCACTAGCTGATCCTTGAATCTTTTGAAAAAGATGGTCAGAGAGTTGCTGCCTATCAACAACAAAATAATATAGTAAATAGTTATTCAGGGAGTTACAATAAGAACCATATGATATTTCGTGATGAGGAGCCTCTAGATCATGGCACTGTTATTAGCAGCATGCTCTTCTTTGAAAGATCTATGGAGAAAAATCTGTAGAATACAGTGTTTCCGTTTCAATGGAAGGAACAATAGTTATTCTAGTCGTTTATTCAATGATTAGTAGGAGTGAGAAAGTAAATTTCCTTTTATTTTTGGCCATGTTGGGATTTATGCTATAACAAATTTTGATATCCTTTACTGGGGTTTAAACAATTTTCTATTTGTTTAGGTATTGAATGGTGTGGACTTTGATATGATTCTGGAAAACTGCTTTTTGTATGATTTGGTTGTTGGATTAACCTTCTGGTAATCCCCTCCAGGGTATGCTGAATTTGCAAAACGTAGCACCTTATGAATGTTGAGTTTACATCCTCCTCCTCAGAGTGATACAATTAGATTTAGTTTACAAATACTTGCCCAACCTCTAAATTCATGTCAGTCTCTTTACTCTTTTGGTGTCTATTGCTTTTTTTTGATAATAATGCTTATTTTTCTTTCTGGTGAAACTTTGGATAATAATGTAAGGTATACTTCCTTCAATGGTTCAGCCTGCCTTGATTTAATTTCTTTGACTAGCCGTTTGTAAATTCATGTAGAGTCCTATCATATGAATGATTGCTTGATAGTAATGGCAGCCCGGTGCACTAAGCTCCCGCTATGCGCGGGATCAGGGGAAGGGTCGGACCCACAAGGGTCTATTGTACACAGTCTTCTCCTGCATTTCTACCAGAGGCTGTTTCCACTGCTCGAACCTGTGACACATTTGCTAGGCTAATGCATCTAGCTTCTTGGCAATAGCCAAGTGCGTTAGATATCGTCATATTGTATGTGTGCAATTTCAGCGTTGCGAGGTGTATGTGTGTGTCTGTCAGTTTCTGGTCCTGGTTTTTGAGTAAAGTGTCAGAGGCTCCAGATCACTACGAGTTTGAATGATCTTATTGTTAGTGATTTGCTAGAAGTAAGAATAAAGACATCAGTCACTCAACTTTAATTTTATCAAATTAGTTATATGAATCCTACGTATCCCTATTTGGAGGTTTCATCAAGTTTAAATCTCTAACTTGTTTGGGACTAAAGTGTAGTAGTTGTATCAGGTTTGGACTATTTTTGCCTGAACGTCAACATACTGCCAGGGGCAAAGTTATGTGGGCGAAGGGTAGTCAACTGAACACGCTTCGCCGAAAATTATACTGTGTATAGGTTAAATATTACTTGTTATTGCTAAGGAAAATAGATTTTGAACACCATTGCATAGCCCACTAGCAAATGGTATTCAAAATTTGAACACCTTTATTGAATTTTCTGGCTTCGCCATTGCATTTGGCAATTCCTTTATTTGATCTTGAGATTGATTATGCTTTGCGATCATTTTCCTTTATTCGATCTAGAGACTGATTATACTTTGTCAGACTATCATTGATGGAGTTAAATGAGAAAAGAGGAAAAAGAAACAAAATTTAAAAAAAAATTGATTTTCACCAAAATCTTTAAAATGACTTCTTGTTTATACAGGAAACCAGAAATTTCATTATCACAATTCACAACTAAGTGTTAAACATTTGCTAAGATAAGAAGGAAATCACATTTTGCTGTATTACACGAAGATACACAAGAATATCAAATAATTTAAGGCGACCAATCAGGTCCACCGGGCTTCTTCAGCAATATCTGATTATACTCAGGTCTCGATGTCTGGAAGAACAAAAACAATGAACGTTAATCCAAAAGACCAAAACGTCCTATTTATGTACAATGACAAGCACCAAAAGCATAACCAATGACCCCTTCTTAAAAAGAATCATTTCTAACAAAATTTCATAGTCAAGATTTTGAATCCATGTAATGGACCAACAGCTTTTCATGATTGTAGAAAATACAACATCAAGAAATATGCATGGTGGATGTTCAACCTAAATCGATGTAATTACCGACTACAATCCTAATTATTAACACTTCCAAAGTTTTCCAAGGAAGTAACTTATAGGTATAACGAGACCATCTCATCTTTTTTCCGATAACCATGGTGTACGGCCTCCGGTTCCTGCACACTTCGACTATTAGATCAGGTACCTGCTATCTTTTACCAGCATAGGTACTGAGTAACTTCGTCTAACAAGGTTTAGGCAGATGAGAAGAATCACTTTAGTGTATAATGAGACCATCTTCTAAAAGTCGTGGCTGGATCTGAATAGCGAATACCAGGCACTGGAATGACAAGATTGTCCTTGCCTCAACAAATATTATCCTTCAGATTTATTTTAGTACCAGTGCTTCCCTACAACCAGCATTGATAGATTGAACTAACAGCAGCTTGAAGACCGTTGACCGACTAATGAGAAACCCATTCTACATTCTCCTAACAACTACCTCTAGAGCCTTAAACTCAGTTACAATTACTGAAAGGGGAAAAGAAACATGTAAAAGGAAAATCAACGGCCTTTCTCAAGAAAATCCTTCAAAGACTCATGCAATTAGTACATGTTTGGTTGACTCATGAACTCAAAATTTTCTTGTTCTTTTCATTTATTTTACATATATTGTTGTACTTCTTCCCTGTTCTTCGACTTCATTTCAGTATTTGTAAATTACTTGAGAAAGGGTTAGGTAGCCGAGCTGTCCGGTTTTGTAGCAGTAGTTTTAGTACATCACTTAGTGTCTTTCATGTATTTTCCTATCCCTAGACTTCTGTTATTACTTGTTGTTGCCTTTGTTTCGGTTTTCTGAATGCATTACCTAGTGTTAGTTTTGTATTTTTGCTTCGGTTGCCATATTGGTTTGCTTATTATTGCCCCTTCCCTTTATCTTTCTTGAGCCGAGGGTATACCGGAAACAACCTCTCTACCTTCTTAAAGGTAGGGATAAAATTTGCATACATTTTACTTTCCCAAGACCCCACTTGTGGGACTACACTGGGTATGTTGTTGTTGTTACTTTCCTACCAAAAAGCAATGCAGCACTTATCGACAGACAGGCTGTATCATAAATAGATAATTTCAATAATCACATGTTTTTTTTTTTTTTTTTTAGGGGTGAAAGGACAAATCAGAGACTTTTAAAAGTCTGTTCAAATTGAAAGAGAAAATAAAGAGCAGGAATATCAGTTGTCATCACTTTGAATGACAGTAAAGCATTCTTACAGATAAAATTTGTTAATTACATTTAAGATACATTAAAACGCAATCCCTAAATCAAGAATGAAGCAACTAATGAAAGATTGACCACCTTAAGTGGAGTGCAAGATGGAATTGCTCTCAGACCACAGCTGGTTAATAGTCAGAACCATTAGGGAATAGGGAATTGTAAAACAAAGACTTCTAAGTGTGAAATTAGGAAAATCTTTGAATTCTTGACTTTGTACAGTTCATACTTTGCATTTGGGTCATTACACGAAACTGCTTCAATTATTGGACTACAACAACAACAACATCTAAGCCTTAATCCCAAGCAAGTCAGAGTTGGCTATATGAATCCTCACTAATCATATCGCTCCATTTAAGCTCAATCCTAATAAATTGTTGGGCAACTACACAAATAGGTGAAAACCATGGGAGATCAAGGTTAAATCGGAAAAAGAAGAAGACGTAAGGTGATTTCTTCCCATCTGTTTAAACCTTTGTGTCACCTATTGGTCACGGATTCAAGCCGTTGAATCAGCCACTAACGTTTGCGTTAGGATAGGCTGCCTACATCATACCCTAAGGATGCAGTCCTTCCCCGGACTCTACATGAATACAGGATACTTTGTGCACCGGGCTACCCTGTCTAAACCTTTGTGGTCAGAGTTACCTAGTAGCTATACCGGTGGAAGGTACCAGTACTCGTTAAAATAGTCGAGGCGCACACAAACTGTCTTGAACCCTACTGTTGTTATAAAGAAAAAGTCTTTATGAGAAGCTTTAAACATAAGCTCAAATACCCTACTACTATGCATTTGGTCTCTCAAGTAAACAAATGAAAATAGCAATTTTTTTTATATACCATGATTGATTGAATTGCTGAAATGGTTAAAAGGCAAATAAAGGGAACAACTCAATGGTTACTAACTTTAGAAATATGCAATTAAAACTAAATTCTGAAACAATTCAATGGAAGAGTAAAAAAAACATTTTTTTAGAAAATGAAAATAACCTAATTTTTAGTAACTAAAGGGAAAGAAGAGAAACTAACCAGATCTTTGAAGATTAGATATGCTATAAGGAAAAAGAGGACAAAGAGAATCTCAAACTCAGCGAATCGGACGAAAGTGAATACTGAGTTAACAGCCCGAGTCATAAGCGACGGCGACGATAACCGCTTCGCCATGGTTTCCTTCAAAATGCAGCTTCAATTTGGAATTAAACTGAAAATGAGACAATTAGTATTTAAGTACTCGAACTTTTTAGAGTTAATTAATTCCCATTTCTTAAAATATTTCTGTCTTGTGCCTTTTAATATGTGAGTGTGAGAATATCTTGTAAATAAACATAATGGGAATATAAACAAAGATAGAAAAAGAATCTGATCCAATTTGTTTTTTATCTTAATGGAGAATATATATTTTCATTTCATAAGTGCACCTAAGCTAATCACAAATTATTCCAATTGAAAAACCTTCTGTTATGTGATGATGTTTGGATAGTCATGAAGTTTAAGATTTTATTTCTTTTTGAAATTTATGATCTAAAATAGCCATAAATATTTCTGTACTATATAAAATTATAAGTTTAAAATTAAATTATTATCATATATAAAAATATGATATTTTTCATTTAAAAAAGTGTGCTACATATAATGTGACAGAAAATGTGCATGGATATGAATGCAGCCATACAAGTAAGTAATGTTTCTAGAGGACACTTCATTTTTTTCTTTTCTAAAAGTCTTTTGTAGAAAGAGAAACTCTTCCTTACCTCTAGGACTTACTCCCATGAATACAATCACTATTACACCATTCATACCACCGGAATCATTGGACAAGAACAACCATATGGACGTGAAAGAAACAACACCACACTCCTATAAGGAAATGCTTCTTGATAAACCGGTAATCCACCAAAATGATTACTATGAAGAAGACGCCACCACAATCATCAAAGATGATAAGGGGAAAAACATTGAAGGCTCAATCCCCCTTCCCCAAGAAGACAAGAAACGCCTTTACTTCCCATGGCGTTACTCTGTAATCATAAAGGTCTTTGGACGTACAATGCCACACCAATATCTTCGCTCTAAACTAATTGACTTATGGAAACCATTTGAACAGTTAATCTTGATTGACCTAGGATGTGATTTCTTCATTGTCAAATTTAGTCTAGAAGAAAATATGGCTAAAACACTACATCTAAGACCATGGTTTGTCTCTGGGAATTTCCTTTCAGTACGGAAATAGGAACCAAAATTTGTGCCACAAGAAGCTACCCTCTCTACCACATCTATTTGGATTCGTCTCCCACAACTACCAACAGAGTTCTACCACAAGAGATATTAGAGAAAGTTGGTAGGAAACTGGGCAAACTACTAAAAATTGACTCATGCACCTCCTCCACTTTGAGAGGAAGGTACGCACGCATATGCATTCAAATACCTTTGGAAACCCCAGTGAAAACATCTGTAATAATTGGAGACCATAAGCAAACAATGATTTATGAGGGAGAAGACGCACTAAGTACAACTTGCGGAAGAATTGGGCACATATCAAGAGATTGCAACTACAAAAAAAAATACAACCACCCGCGCCTCGAGAAGCACCGGAAACCTCAGAAAAAAACACGAAACAAGGGGAGGAGAATGAATGGAAGACAGTAACCTTCCCAAGAAGGAAAAAAATGGATCAACAAAAGGTGAAAGAAAGTAACGATGTACCTGCTAACAACCAACACCATGCATCACAAGCACAACGGATCCAGGTAAACATGTTTGACGCAAGCTCAGGTAAATTCCCACAAAATAAAACTGTGCAATACAATTCTAAGTCAAACAATCCCAGACCAAAATTTTACAACGGGCCTAACGACCCAACTAATAAACAAAGCCCCATCCCCCACTCCCCTGCAACCCCTTCCACGAGGCCCCAACCCAAACATAACGCCAAACGCAAGGCAGGAATAGGGCCTGAGGAAACTGACACGATCTCCACCCTTGACCCACACATCGGCACCCGCAACGAGGCCTCTACTCTTAGCCAATCCCTGACGCAAAAGATGTCAACCCCGGGGTATTGGATCACAATGCCGGCCCCGATCAACCAATAGGGGCCCACACCCAATTGGAGACACCGAGCCCAAATAATCACCAGTACCCAAATACCTACGCGTCCCCTACCCCTACCTCTCTCTATGAGAAAGCCTCTAATGGGGAAAACTCAATATACCCCATGAACACTCAAGCGCCTCATCTAAAAACCCACTTAAACTCAGGTGAACACACTTGCCGTCCATTCCACAAGATAGCACATTAATTCCGAATCCCTCTCCCCAGATACAATAACCGCTGCCTTTTCCATTGACCAAGATTTGACACCAAAGGACGCAATTATGAACCCGTCCACTAACATAATCCCCCCCATTACCCAAAGTAGCAAATAAAAAAAACACAAAAATGAAAAAAAAACCAAACGCCACCCACCATTGTGACCTTGCTGCCACTACCACCGGACCACCTACCAGCATCCTGGCTGAAGGTAGCATTACAGGGACAGGTGTTAGTTTACAATTGCACCCTGGTAAATCAACCAGTGACCTTGATTGTCCAGGATCCAACACATTTGGCGAGAGTAACGATGGAATCACTAAACAAACCCTTGGCTGCCTTTGGTCCATGCCTATGGCAGACAATGCGAATACCGGTAACATGCAACTGAACATCGATCCACCTCTGCTCAACAGCCTAATGTCCCAAGCCTTCCAACCAATACCATTCTTCCCAGATCCGGCAACGGAGGATCCAGCAGCGTCGCCGGTTTTTGTGACCATCGAACCCCAAATCCACCAAGCCCCATCATTTTCTGCTCCACAAGAGAAGAGCCCGTCTCCACCACTGGGCAACATCAAAAGGGAAATCAACAAGGCCCTAAATCTCCTAAAAAGGAAAAGCTCACCAGAAATGGAAGGAACAAACTATGGTCCCCTTCGCACAAACTCTCTACTACTGGACTCAGTCAGGGGGATAGAGTTTAGTGTAGAGACCAGCAAAGTATTGGTGTTGCTGTGCCCAAGAACGATGACCAAATGTGGATTGAGCCTAGTGTCTCACCACTCCCAAGGAGTGACCAAGCCGCTTCTTAATCTGACTCCAGTCCTCAGCATGAAGGGAAAGACCCAAAAGACTCCAAAGAGGACTCCACAGGGAATGGAGAAACCTCAGCAAAGCCAATTCCCACACATCCAACCACCCCTAATGAATTACATCATATGGAATGTTAGGGGTGGAAACAACGCTAATTTAAGAGGCATTGCATGAATATAGTCAAGCTCTACAAGCCAACTATGCTGGTTCTGCTAGAGACCAAGATGGCTGATCACAAAAAACTAGTAGAGGAACTGCAGTTTGACCTGATTATTCAATCTTCGGCTATTGGTTTATCTGGGGGGGATTGTGCTTATGTGGAAAGAAGATAGTGTTAGTGTGGAAGAGGTTTCCACCACCCCCCAGGGTATCCATGCCATGGTAAAGGTACTCCCTGACCACACCCCCTGGTTATTTTCTGCCATCTATGCTAGTAATATTTTAGCTAACAGAAAGTTACTATGGGAGAGCTTAGTTACTATCTCTAAAATCTCCATAAACAATTGGTTCGTGGGAGGGGACTTCAATAAAGTTCTGAAAGCTAAGGATAAATATGGGGGCAAACCAATAAACCCTACTCGTAGTAACTTATTTTGGAACTGCCTTAATGAATGCAAGTTATTAGATTTAGGATACAAAGGAAGTAAATTCACCTGGACTAATAAAAGATACAAGAATAGGATTTGTCTGATTCTTGAAAGAATAGATAGGTGTTTTGCCAATGAGAGTTGGACTTTCCAGTACCCTGAGGCTACTGTGATACATCTTCCTAGGACCCACTTTGATCACTGCCCCACCCAAGTAGTACTAAAAGGGGATTCATTCAATAATGCCACCAGACCTTTTAGGTTTGAATCATTATGGACTAGCCACCCATCCTTTTCCAGTATCATCAATGAGGCTTTCCTCCCTAATTCCCCCCTAATTCAATCAACTGAGTCTTTTAAGAGGAGTGTGACCCAGTAGAACAGAAATACTCTTGGCAATATATTCCATAAAAAAGAAGAATGTTAGCCAGAATTGTAGGAATCCAAAAATCCCCTAATTACCAGTTCAGCAGCTATTTGTTAAACCTAGAAAATAACCCGATCGATGAGCTTGATCCATCCTAAAAAATGAGGAGGATTTCTGGAAGCTCAAATCTAGGATTAACTGTTTAATGATGGGGATGCCAACACTAGATTCTTCCACACATCTACTCTCAATAGAAGAAGAAGAAACATGATCCTCTCCCTCAAAGAAGAGAGTGGAAACTGGCTCTATGATCAAGGAGACATCAAGACATCTATATTTTCCTTCTTCAAAAACCTCTATACCTCCTCACACTCACAAGCTCCCATCTCCACCACCAAACACCTGACCATGACCCATACCCTATCTGACTCTCAAAGGGATAGACTGGATAGGCCCCTCGAAATGGGAGAAGTAAAAATGGTCATCTTCTCCTTCAAGCCCTTCAAGGCTCCTGGGCCTGATGGCCTCCATCCCTTCTTTTACCAGAAGTACTGGAGCATTGTAGGAAATTTAGTATCTGATTTCTGCAAGCAATGCTTCACTACTAACTCCATGGATGAGACCATGAATCAAAATCTTCTTTGTCTCATTCCAAAGTGCCCCTAAACTTCCATGCTCAAAAACATCAGAACAATTGGACTTTGTAACACAATCTACAAGTACATCACTAAGATCATTGTAAACAGAATCAAGCCAATGCTTCCTAACATAATTGGCCCTAGCCAGGCCAGCTTTCTTTTCAAATAGGAAAGTTTCTGACAATGCTATCATTGTGCAAGAGTATATTACTCACTTTAGGAAAATGGAAGGGACACAGGCTGACATGATCCTCAAAATAGACCTAGAGAAAGCCTTTGACATGATTGAATGGTCCTTCATTAGGGACACCCTTCATGCCTTCAACTTTCCCCCTAGGCTGACCAAGTTAATTATGTCTTGCATCAGCTCTTCCAGCATATCAATCTTAGTAAATGGAGGAAAAACTGAAGCATTCAAGCCCTCCAGAGGCATCAGACAGGGGGATCCCATATCCCTTTACCTTTTCATCATGTGTATGAAAAGACTCTCTGGGTCAATTGACCAGGCTGTGCTGGCCAACCAATGGCAACCTATAAATATTAGCTAGTCTGGCCCTAAAATCTCTCACCTTTTCTTTGCTGATGACCTTACTCTGTTTGCCAAGGCAAACAATAGGAATTGCACCACCATGTATTCTATCCTGCAGTCCTTCAATGAGAACTTTGGACAAAAAATCAACCTCACTAAGTCCAGAGTACTCTTCTCCTCTAATACTACTTAGGACGCCATGGAATGTCTCACTAATGCACTATCAATCCAAGCTACTACCTCCTTTGGTAAATACCTTGATTTTTCTATGTTCCATAAGAGATTCACTAGCTCTGACTTTCAGTTCATAATAGACTATATGCAGTCCAAGCTGGCTGGCTGGAAAATAAATTGTCTAAATATGACTGGTAGGACCATTTTGGCTAAGTCATCCCTTAATAGTATCCCTAACCATGCCATGCAATATATCAATTTGCCCACAAAAATCACCAAGCAAATTGATAGAATCCAGAGGAACTTTATTTGGGGAACTACCCCAAATAGGAAAAAAAATGCACCTGGTTAATTGGGATAGGGTCACCAAGAAGAAGGCCAATGGGGGCTAGGGCTCCAAAAAGCAGAATTGAAAAACAAAGCAGCCCATGCTAATCTGGCCTGGAGGATTTATCACAACACCTCAAGCTTATGGTCTAGAGCTCTAATCTCTAAGCACTGTAATTAGAACCATACTCCCAGAACCACTAAATCTCCTACATGGAAATGCATCTTAAGGGTATGGATACATGCAGAAAAGCTAGCAGAGGTGGTCCACAAGGGTAACAGGGTAAAATTCCTGAATGATGCTTGGATCCCTAACCAGCCAGCTATTAGGGATATGGCAGAAGGTCCCCTTACCCCAAACGACATATCTGTCAAAGTAGACACTGTCTACAACTCAGGGAACTGGGACCTCTCTTCCATCTCCACGGATCTGCCTACAAGTATCTCTAACATGATCAATTCTGTCTTCATTCCTCTCAACCCTATCAAAGAAGACAAGCTAATATGGGGATTGACTCCTAGTGGGTCCTTCACCAGCAGCTCTGCCTACACTTTCCTTAGAAAAAGAAAGAAGGACTTTGGAAATGAGGAGGAAGGGACTTTTAATTGGATCTGGAAATTACAAGCTCCTAACAAAGTCAAGAACTTCATCTGGCTTCTTGCCCAAAATAGGTTACCTACAGGAGCCCACGTTTACAGAATTGGGGATAACTGTAACCCACAATGCTGTTTCTGCCAAAGCATTGAAGAAACAAGTGATCGCATCTTCTTTGAATGCATAAATGCAACTCAATTCTGGGAGGAGTTGCTATCCAAGGCTTCTAGCGAGAGTAGGCAACAGAATCTTATTTTCTCATCTCAACAATGGCCATTTACTTGGAATAAACTTAGAAACACACCCTTTAATGAAAATATTCCTTGGGAAAACATATTTTTCTTCTGTTTCTGGGACATCTGGCTATGAAGGAATCACAACCTTTTCAACAACAAAAAAGATAGAATTAGTACCACCAACATCATCTCTAAAGCAACTGAACACTTTGTAATGGTGAAAAATGTCACCATCAAGAAGCCTTTCCAAATCAATTGGAAATGGGAGCCCCCAAGGAGAGGGTACTATAAGCTGAATACAGATGGGGCAGCTAGGGGTAACCCAGGCATAGGAGGAATAGGTGGAGTATTCAGGAACCATAACGGGGATTGGATATGGAGAATATACCACATACAACCAATACCATGGCCGAACTGAGAGCTATCCTAAAAGGGCTGCAGCTAGCCAAGCAGAATGGATGGATCCCCTTGGACTTCAACAAAGACTCGGCAGAAATAATCCAAATGCTACTCACAGGTAACTTAACATATGATCCCATGATTTGTGAAAGCAGGTTGTTAATACAAAGGATGGACAGGGCCGTGGCGAGGCACACGTACATGGAGCAGAATAGGGTGGCAGATGCTATGGCAAAAGAGGCAGCAAAGCTAAGTTTTTTTGGGAAGATCCAGCTTACTAGCAGTTCCTCCGATGTTTGCAAACGATGTATTTTGGGCAGACATCCTAGGAACTGAAGTTATTAGAAAATTTTGGCATGTAATATTGATACAGTATCTCGAAACATCGCACTAATGGGGGAATTACAATACGCCGGCACTGACAGTTCTTTGTAATGTATTTCCTAGTTTGGTAGTTATATATATAATTATCCTTTGTTAACCCAAAAAAAAATGTTTCTAGAGAGTAATTCTACCAAGTTCTTCTTAAATTTTACCTCTTAATTATTTTTAGTTTCTAGAAAAAGTCCTTTGAGTCGGGATATTTACACAAATAGCCGGTCATATTTAATATTTTTTTAGCCATATACATAAATTATATATTTGTCATGCATAATGATACACATAAGGGTCGTTTTGTTGGAAAGATGTTATCCCAGAATTAGTTATTCCGGGATTAGTTATTCCACTTTTTCATGGGGATAAAAAAATACTACAATCCCGGAATAATTAATCCCAAGATTAATTATATCGCAATTTTCTCCCAACCTAACATGAAATAAAATTTTCTTGTCCTTGTTCCTCATGCCAAACGAGCATAGTACATAAATTATGCATGTATTATATTTCTATCGGCTATTTTTACTATAAGCAATTGGGTAGGCGGATTGGGTTAATTCTTTTTATTTTTCTTCTTCTGTCATAGGAAGCTTATTTCTGAAAATAGCTGAGAGGCCAATAATGACTCACATAATTACATTCCCGCTCACCTATAGTATACCTGTGACTTTGTGACTCCACTTTGCACTTATGCTCTTACTGGAGTACTATATACTATACTATACTGTGACCCAACCACACCACTCATTTCACTTTCCTCTCTTCCTCCAAAATCTCCCATTCTTTTTTCTTTTCCATTTTCAAAACACCCTTCTCCTAATTTTAACTCTTTTCTTGACAGTTCAAGAACCATACTCAAAAGTGTAAATCCTAAACACTCTCTGCTGAAAGATCAAGAACCAACCTCAAAGTTACAAACTTTCTACATTTTACTCAAAATTGTGAGAATATAGCACAAAAAAGGAAAAATATGTCTGCTACTGTTAGAGGGGTTCTCTTCCCCTTTATATTTCTTGTGTTACTTATAAGTTTTCTTGGTGCCCCAGTTTCCCAAGTGAGTTTTTTCCTCTCTTAATATAGTTTCTTGTTTTTTGATAGATCCCATCAAAGTTCTTAGTATAAAGATTGAATTTTTATGGAGTTTTGAGCTGTATTGGCTTTTGTAGGAAAAAGGGGTCAATTATTTTGGTATCAAGATTGAATTTTGATGGAGTATTTAGCTATATTATGCTTCCGTAGGCAAAATGGTCAAACTTTTTGTTGGTATGAAGTTTGAATTCGATGGAGTTTTGAGCTGTAATTGCTTTTGCAGGCAAAAGGGTCAATTTTTATGGTATAGATATTGAACTTTTATGGAGTATTGAGCTATATTTTGCATTTGTAGACAGAAGGGTCAATCTTTTTGGTATAAAGATTGAATTTTTATGGAATATTGAGCTATATTTTCTTTTGTAGGCAAAAGGGTAAAAAAATATTTGGCATAAAGATTGATTTTCTTTGGAATTTTGAGCTTGTTTGCTTGTGTAGGCAAAAGGGTCAATTTTATTGGTATAAAGATTGAATTTTTATGGAGTTTTGAGCTATATTTTGCTATTGTAGGCAAGAGGGTCAAATATTTTTTTTTTGGTACAAAGATTGAATTTGTATGGAGTTTTCAGCTGTAATTGCTTATGTAGTTAAAAGGGTCAATTTTCTTGGTGTAAAGATTGAACTTCTTATGGAGTTTTGAGCTATATTTTGCTATTGTAGGTAAAAGGGTCAGAAGAAATGGTGCCACTAATTGAGCTAGGAAAAGCAGAGAAGATGATGATAATGCTTAATAACACAAGGAGAAAGCTTGGGAGTTTTCAGATTTGTGCACTTTGCACTTGCTGTGGTGGGGCCAAAGCAGTATGCTTGCCTACTCCTTGTTGCTATGCTATCAATTGCAACATACCAAACAGGCCTTTTGGTTACTGTTCTTTCACTCCTAAAACCTGTAATTGCTTTGGATGTCATTACTAATTCCACAAGAAATCATAAAAGTATCTCTCTTTCTATAAAAGGAAAGAAAATTAAGTTAAGTTAGATCTTTTTTTTTTTGGTCTTTGATTTGTGTTTATGTGAGTCTGAAAGGGGAGAGGAATATCTGTTCTTAGATTTTGATTTGTTTATAATTGTTTGGAGGACAGCTATTTCCAGGTAATCTTTTGCTACTTTATATTGGGATTTGTGCCCTTGAATTAGTGTTAGATTTTACTCTTTTTCAGTAATGAAAAAATGTGATTCTTTTTCTTAAGTAGCAAAAAATTTGGATGAAGTAGTACTAGATTCAGAGTGAAGTATAATACATATATACATTGATTGAGTGTTTCTCTCTCTCTCTTAATGAAGTTTAGTGGATTTGTTTATTACTCCATATTGTTAGTATATTTTATTGATGTTGATAGTCTTTGTCATTATAAAATATTGTTAGCTTAGTGAGGATGTATACTGAGATATTCATTACTGTCATTAAGTTATGTCTATTGTATGAATGTTTTGGTCATTAATTAATCTTTTACTGTACCACTGGGGTTATTTAGCAATTGGATTTAAATGTATGGGTATTTTTATAAAGGGGTAGCCCGGTGCATTAAGCTCTCGCTATACGCGGGGTCCAGGAAAGGGTCAGACCACAAGGGTCTATTGTACACAAACTTACCCTATATTTCTGCAAGAGGTGGTTTTCACGGCTCGAACCCGTGACCTCCTGGTCATATTGCAGCAACTTTACTGATTATGCCAAGGCTCCCTTTCAAATGTATGGATATTTTTATAAAGGGGCATCCCGGTACACCAAGTTCCCGCTATGTGAGGAGTCCGAGGAAGGGTCGGACCACAAGGATCTATTGTACACAGCCTTACCCTATATTTTTGCAATAGGCTATTTCCACGGCTCGAGCCCATGACCTTCTGGTCACATGGCAACAACTTTACTAATTACGTCTATAATAATGGGAAAGTGATAGTGTAAACATTGAACCTAAGATTGAATTTCCCTATTTTCTAGAGTGTAGGACCTAAGGTGACAATAGTAGAGTTTGTTGTTTATTGTTGATGTTGAAAGGGTCTTCATGTGATATTGGTTCATTATTGGATAAATGATGCAGCCCCCACAAGTCCCTATATGTATAAGGAAAACAAGGGAAAGATTGGGATAGAGCTATCACTTGCCCTAAGCAATAAAGAAATTAGATGGGCTTTTATGAAGAAAATGAATAGGGTTGTTGTCAATGTTGACAAACTTAACACTTATGGTGGGTGGAAGTTGAGTAGGGTAGTTAATCTCAGCTACCATAATAATGCACTGGATTTTAATTGTAGAGTAGTAGATACTATGTTCCAAACTTTCTCATTTCCATTTTCCATTTCATATGTTTTGATTATAGTCTCACCATTTATTTCTGCTTTATGTGATACGTATAGACGATAACAATTAGTTGGAATTAAGTTTTAGTCATGTTAGTATATTTACTTTAGGTCTTATGTTTTTCCAGTAATCTTTTAGCCCTGTTAGAGATTTATATGCCATTTGAAAGTATAGAGAATTTTAGTATCTTCAATATTAATAAAAAAAGCAGCCCGGTACACAAGACATCCCGCATTTACGTAGGGTCCGGGGAAGGGCCGCACCCTAAGGGGTAGGGTTGTTCATTCGGATCGGTGATCCGAAATCCGAACCGATCAATTCAATTTCGGATTTCGGATCGGATTCAGATTGGTATATTTTAATCCGATCCGATCCGAAATTCGAAATTATTAGGCAATGTATAAATACTACACTTTAATTTCGGATTGTCAGTACTTCCTTTACATCTTCCTCCAAGTTATTACCTTTACAATTGCTAGATTTAGCTATATTGGTACCATAGTACTCATATAATTGTATAAACATGAATTTTTCTTAATGTATTGCCTCTTTTACAAAGAAAATATACATATTAGTTTGCAACTTTGAGGCATAATAATACGATCCGAAATCAGATCCGATCCAAACTTTAAAATCCGATCCGATCCGATCCGATATAATTCGGATCGGATTCGGATTGCATTTTCTAAAATCCGAAATCCGAAATCCGAATCCGATCCGTGCACAGCCCTACTAAGGGGTGTGATATAGACAACCTACCCTGATGCAAGCATTAGTAGTTGCTTCCACGGTTCGGACCCGTAACCTATAGTTCACACAGAGACAATTTTAACATCGTTCCAAGGCTTCCTTCTTCAATATTACTCTTATATAATATTAAATTGTGATGAGCTTAAATGAATAACATGGTCAATAAGAATTTATAAAGTCGATTCTAACTTGTTTGGGATTGAGACGCAATAATTGTTGTTGCTGCCTATCAAGGTATAGGCAAATGAGAAGAAGTTGCTTTCACATTTTTTTGTCTCTGCCGAGGATTGAACCTATCTCTACCTTATCAAGGTGGGGGGTCAGGTCTGCGTACCTCCTACCCTTTCCAAACCTCACTTGTAGGATTATATTGGATTTATTATTGTTGTTGTTGTCGAGGAGTGAACCTTAATCTTGTGCGATATCTCATATCCGCTTCATTGACTAGTAGGCCATAAGTGACACTTGGATGGTCTCTTTTTTTAGTTTGTTAACACAACTATGCAACTTGTGGGTGAATGAGAATGTGAATGGGTGTTAACCAACCAAATCTGAATCTGCTGTTTTGAGACTATTTGACACTAGAAATATAGTGTGTAGGGAATCTAATTGACCTTGAGTTTGAGATAAACTTAGTTGATCAACCCATGTGACATGTTCTGCCTTGGGACAAGATGAGAAGATTTGCAGCCTCCCTTTATATAATTGAATTGTTTTGAAGAAGTGGCTGCTTGTTGCTTATAATGTATTCTCTCAGTACCTTCTTGGTACTTTTTTAATAAAATCTTTACCTTATCATCCCAAAAAAAAAAAAAAAATGCGCCGTGTTTTTACATTTCAATAATTTAATTTTAGTAGTTAAAACTCAAAGTTGCTGCCATGTAATCAAGAGGTCACGGGTTCGAGCCGTGAAAACAACCTCTTGCAGAAATACAGGGTAAGACAACGTACAATAGGCCCTTGGGGTCCGGGGAATCTCGCGCATTACGAGAGCTTAGTACACTAGGCTGTCCTTTAATAGTTAAAACTCGAAGACACGTTTTGCATTCGATGAGTTGGTGTAAACAATGGGCGCGGTTCAATTTTTGTCGTCTTTTTATTCTCAAACCAAAAAAAAAAAAAAAAATTAAGCAAGAGAAATTATGGACCTCTTGCTTAGAAATTCCAACGAGGGAGTAAGAATTTCTAAAGATTTTGAGGCCATTACATTGGAAGATAGGGCAATAAATGATATAAATCGAATCTTACCAACAGGATAAAAAGATCAATGGGTTACACAAAAATGTACACTGCTAAAATACTAGACTATGAGTTGAGGTTAAAAATAAAATATATTTCCAAATTAGAGCAAGCAAATGGCAAAAAGATAAAAAAAAAAAAGGGAGGACCATATGTGTGTTTTGGATTAAAGAGAAAAGAAGTCAAAGATACATGTGCTTCTCTGTTTGAAATTTTGGTGCTCTTTCCTTTTAAATTTCAATAATTCTAACATCTAAAAGGCTATTGGATTTAAATAGCATGTGTCCAAAATTAAAGAAAATATTAACTTGCTAAACATCTTTAAAAAAAGGTAAAGGATACAAAAAAGAATGGAAAAAAGACACTGTATAGCTGCCGTAAAAATAATAGCCGAAAAAATGTATAAAATTTGTAAATAGTTTCTAGCGCGGGCTAAAAGTGATAATACCCCAAAAAGAATGTGAATATATATAAAGAATCTCAATATATTGAGTATACAGTCCCACCTCTCTATAACAACATTTTTATATTACAGTCATTCACTATAAAGCCAAGTTTTTCTCGGAACCGATTTTTATGTAATGTTATAGTATATGTTCTCTATAATAGCACTTCACTATAATAGCAAAAAAATATCGGAACAAACAAATCTGTAGAAAGGATTGAATGTATTGTAAAAAAATGTATAACTCTAATTCCTACCGAGTCTGTCTGGCATCTGTTGTAAGAGTACATATTTGAAGCTCAGATTACTTAACTATACAGATTATTACTTCCAAGTCTTAAATATAGCACATTAATCTATCAAATTGCAACTTTACACACAAAAAAACTTGATAAAACTGTACATTCTGGTTTTCTAAATTCAAATTCTTCGATTCTCCACAAATTTGATGTCCTCTTCCTTGTGTTAAGGCGATAATTTTGGCGTTGATCATGCTCTAGTGAGGCAGTTTGACTTGCAACTTTGCCTATCTCCGTTTCTCGCATCTGCAGCTTCCTGGCCTCATGTCATCTCATTTTATACAAGAACCTGATGCACTGAAAGAGCAATGCTTTACTTCACTGACTCCGGATAAGGATCCGTCCAACACTTGTCCTCCTCGACTGCCTGTTTCCATCGTCGTTTGAATATCTTATACTCATTGTACGATTGTCTTCTCACCTGAAGTTCACATACATAATTGGAGTCAAAATGTCATCGCATTGAATGCTGCATTCGTATTGACTCCTTATTTCAATTCAGACTCTGTATAGCCGATCCCAACTGACTTAGATTGAGGCGCAGTTGTGTTTCATTTCAGACTTTTTTTCAATCTTGATACTACTTATTTAGTTTTACGGATACCATATGATTATGCAATCTTTATCAGTCAACAAGCAAAAAAATTCCTTGTTGTGATCATAATGTCACTATGATTAAAAGTCAAATTCAAAGTCAGCTCGCGGTAATTGTAATGTTCATAATATAAGTGCACCAGAAGCTTACTTCAACTCTGAAATTGAGAGTGCTGGCTTGAGATGGTGCCTGCATGAATGAAAACAATATTTAGCTTTGATGTTAAATAAAAGACGCGCCAAAACTCATAACTAAACACATCTAATCTGGTGGACACGATCGGTTAGCTATGGACTCTTATAATATCCACATCTTCACTGGATAAAGTAATGTAGAACATACTTGTTTTCCAAGGCTTGTGATGTTTTCTCCACCCACTGTCAAATTCTTCTGCATAATTGACATTAACGCTAATAAGTTAGAAATTGAAGTGGAATAGCAGTATGATCTAAACATATCAAAAATCCCACAGAATGCATAAATCTCAGGAGAAATTAATTGTTTCACAAATAAGAAAAGAAGTCGTGAAGTACTACTAAAACTTCATATTCTGAAAAGAGTTTTGCTGCTAATAATATAGCATCTGAAAATAGTGTTTGATGTTTCTTGCTTCTATCTGGAATGACTAAAATGACAACTTAAACTGTCTCCAGATGGAACTCAAATGCCTTCCAATAATGAGGGAAAGCCAGTGTGGAACTCTAAAACTATGATTTAACCATTTGACAGCAAAACAGAAAACCAAACAAGGAAATATCATGCTAAAGAAACAAGCATTTTCTTACATGTTTCTCTACTGGTAAAATGAACTCAAAACAGTCAGCTTGATGGAGTGAAAATAGTAAGTTCAACTGTCGATCAGGTATGAACATCAACCAAATGCGACAACTTCATTATTATTGCCTATACATTTTAGCAAGTCCGTTGCAGTTCTAAGTTCATTTCAATTATTTTATTGTGACACCCCAGGCGAATCCCACATCGACAAAACACGGGAGAGATGCTGGGTAGACCCTAGTGAGGACAAACCTCAACGAGGACGTTGAGTCCCTAGAGGTGGAGGGTGTATGTGACACCCCAGGCGAATCCCACATCGACAAAACACAGGAGAGATACTGGGTATATAAATTAAACAAGCCTTGGACCCTAGTAACGCATTTTAAAGCCGTGCGGGCCTAGGCCCAAAGCAGAAAATATCATTAGTGGGTTGGACGATGAAGTCAATGACCACAACGAATCATTTGTAACCCAAGACCAAGATGAAATACCTTCTTTTCAGGCTCTCCTAGTGTTGGAAGGCCATAATGAACAATGTATTCAGCATCGACAACCCCAATATTTTTAGTCCGGTCTCCCTATCACGAAAAAATGATCAATGAGCATCAGCAACTCATGTCTATAACATAAGCTAACTATCGCTTTAACAAAAGAAAAAAATAATTTCGCCAAATTCAAAAGTACCTGTGCACAGTAACCAAGCTGCATGTCCAAACCCCAAGCATGGATCAAGTCATTCTGTGAAAGAACATAAAAGGAATAAGAAGTAAAGGTTAATTATTTTGCTGCAGATTAAGATGCAGTTATGTCTGATGAACTGAACTAAACAGTGGTATGATCTAGCTTAATCAGATACAGCAGAGATAACTATATACCTCTTTGCCAAAAACCAAAATTTAACTGTAAAATATTCGATACTGCAGTTAAGTAATGCAACTACAGCATGTACATATCATTAATAGTGACCATACAGCATTTCTAAAAGGAAAAACCTGGATCATATACCACACGCAGCGCCAAGCAGCTTTCGAAAACACAGGAGCCATTACTTCTATCCACCTGCAATATCAGAAACTCGTTAGGGATGCAGAAGAGGAGATTATCGCCATAAAATTCCAACTTATGTTCCCTAAATATTTCCCATGAAGAGAACAAGATTTTAACGCGTGACTGGCATAATACAAAATTAAGTTACCCTGTACAAGGAGGAGCCGCACTGGTATAGTCACACTGAATGCCAGTATCGCCAGCCTTATAAGTCCTTCTGCAATGTAATGAGTTAAATCAATTAATTCCAACATCACAACATGATCTAGCCATTGTTAATCAAAGAGCTGCAAGAGACTACACGACATTGTATAAATGAAACTCCCTGTCAGATGAGCACGCAATACTAGACCATAAATTCATACATGTACTAGCATTAATAAGTAGAAAACTTAAGCCTTGTAGTACTATTCATTTACTACTATGTACTACTAAAATCTAGAGATATGAAAGAACATACTAAGACACAGAATTGTCAATAAAAACCTGTGCACTCTTGATCTCCTCCCACGCGCAGTAATCTGATGATGCACCTCTGACTTTCCAATATCTAGTGCTGGTTGCGAAATCTCAAGACCTTCATCTCTCACAATAGATATATATCTACATGGATGATACAATTCAGGTTTAGTAAATCCAGTATATTTCATTGGAATGCTTTCTATTTCTTTTAGTTGTTTCTGAACATAAAAAAGGGCAGCACGGTGCACAAAGCATCCCGCATTCACGCAGGGTCAGGGGAAGGGCCGCACCCAAGTGGTGTGATGTAGACATCCTGCCCTAATGTAAGTATTTGTGGCTGCTTCACGGCTTAAACCTATGACCTATAGGTCACACGGAGACAACTTTACCGTTGCTCCAACGCTCCCCTTCTTGTTTCAGAACATGCATAAAACTAAATGCATATATGCAATCTAACAGTACTCCATCTTCTGTATTCTAAGTAGAGTATACACTAACTTTCACATACCGTTTCGGGTTGAAATTTTCAACTCCAAGGTCTTCATCCCAGAGGAAGATATAACTGTACTCATCAACTATATCTGGATGTAGGAATCTTTTTGCAAACCACCTGCCATTTTCATAACAACCGGAAAATGTCAAGAGAGTTTGGTGCAAGCAGAAGATGTTCTATACTAACGCAACTGCATAAGAAAATACGCCTCTGTGCTTGTGTCCCTCAATTTGAGATGCAAATCAAAATATGAAAAGATTAACTGTATAAATATCTCGAAGAATGTAAAGAGGCTTAGTATGGTATAATTAAGAATTACAAGTAAAAAATTCAAAAACAAAATAATGCAGAAGCTAAGGGTCTGAAAACTGTACCATTTTGTTTGGTTCAAAGCTGAGATGTGTATTACACTATCACTCCATTTAAAACTCCTCCATCCATCGACAATACCATCGTAGTGAAAAAGCATCACCACAAAATCACTTGACAGAAACTGCCAACTGATTCAATGAGCAAATTCACAGTAACTGTATATCATAAACTATCGAACTTATTTAAAAACTCACCTTTTGTACCATCTCGTTTACTGTTTCCTTTTGCTTTATCCCAACAGCTGCAGCAAACAAATACTTTGAAGGCTCCTTTTTCTGCTAAACCACAATAAGAGGTAAAAAAAATGTAAGTGACTGTTTACACTGCTGAAAATCTATACCACGAAAATGTCATATTATATTCTTGCGTTACTTAAATATCGATCTCCTCATCAATTCATAAACAAGATCAGCAGCAGAAGTAATAATGATAATCAACATGTCCATGTTGTTCCTATACCAGTAATATTAGTGTTAGTTTTGTATTCTGTTATTGTTAGATTTCTATTATTACATGTTGTTCCTTTCGCTTTGTTTTCTTATTGTCTTGTTGTTACTGCTTTCTTTTCATCTTTCCTTGAGCCGAGGGTGCATCGAAAACAGCCTCTCTACCTTCAAGGTAGGGGTAAGGTCTGCGTACACACTACTCTCCAGACCCCACTTGTAAGATTATACTGGGTTTGTTGTTGTTGTTGTAACATGTTCATCAAGCAAGACCTACAGTTGAAATTTGAAGAGAAAACGGAACATTTTGCCTTAAACTTGACTGGTTAAAGAGATTTGAATTCTAAAAACTTGTCAAAGTTATACAAACTAATATTACTAGTAGAGTGATGTCAAATCTTGTTGGACATGGAAAGAATATCATACAAATTGGAGCGAATGGAGTATCTTACATTGTGAAAGATATAAGAATTCATTTTCAACAGAAAAATTCAATTCTACATCTAAAACTTATGAGGAACATGGCGAAGATAGATATGAAATTAACCTCTGGATAACCCCATAAGGGCCGTCTTTCCAAGTTAGAAGCCCTAGCAATAATACCTTCAGGTAATGTCTCACTTCCATTAGGCCTGCATTGATTCTAAAACGAATGACAAAAATTATTTATGCGAAGAATAAGAACGATATCAAGGTACTTAGAAACCCCTGATTAAAGTCAGTTCATTTGTATGGAACTATAAACAGATACTAAATGCCGAGGAAGATAGTTGATAACGTTTAAATGCTAAAAAGAACAAACCTCACATGAGCTTCGCACTTTCTCCAGCTTCCATTGCAAACTTTTCTGCACAATAGAGTTCTTATGGTTATCCGTTCCCATAGTGCATCACTTGCGCAACAAATTTACCAAAATATGAATAGTACCAAGTTCCTCTTTTGCGAATAAGTCAGAGACACTATGAAAATAAAAAAGCCTATAATCGGTTAAGACTGCAGCACTAACAGTATGATCACAATATTAAGTGTGTAAGCTAGAGCAAAGCCTGTGCAATAAATAAAAAGAGTATCGCCTTTATCAGATTAAGCTTTTAGATGAGATGGCCACATATTTCGACATAAACTACAGGAAAGGTCAAGAGAATAAGACAGAAAACTCTTTGTGATTTAAATCTCTTAGTAGCTAGGAAAAGAAGAATGCACCTCTTTATGATCTGCTACAAAGTCGCTTCCTAACAATAGAATCAGACACAATACGGAAACTGTAGGAAAAAGGGCACAGAAACATGACCTCTTGATTTTTGAATCTTTCAGTAGTGACACCTGAAATTACCAAAAAAGAATCTCATCAGCACATTGAACTGGACATTGCAAACAACAAGCTTCTTGTTTACTAGAATTTTCAGAAAAAAGGACTACAGTTTTGTAGGACTAAAATTCAAGGTGTTAATTCAGGGTGGCTGCCAATACCAACTGATTTGGGATTGAGGTTTGGTTGATTGATCGGAAAGTGTGGCAATTCCAAGGTGTCTATAGTGAATTCCTTTAAAAGACACTATAAAAAAAAAAATGCAGTCCGGTGTGCGAATCATCCCGGCCTACCCTGACGCAAGCGCCAGTTACTGATTCCACGACTCGAACCCGTGATCTATAGGTCACACGGAGACAACTTTACTGTTGCTCCAATGCTCCACTTTCAGAAGACACTATAATGATACGAAAATCAACAACAACAACAACAAACCCATTGTATATGCAGACCTTACCCCTACCTTTAAAAAGGCAGGGAGTCTATTTTCGATAGACCCTCGACTCACGGAATGATACTAAAAAACACAATAACTAGACTCCCCACAACTAATTGCCCATATAAATGTCTTGTATTGCTATAAGATCAAATCTTTTTCCCTTATAAAAAAAAAAGAAAAAAAGAACTCTTTTTTGTATGACTAAAACTCTCCAAAATCCTAACAATAATCCCCCGTTTATGATAAAAGCCTACTTATAGAAAATCAGAACATCATATACAACAATTGGCCATCTATCATGCTTTACACAATAACTACAAAAATTGGCGAATGAAGTATATAACCTAAGGGTTCAACTCAATCCAGCATTTTCGACACAAAATGTCAATATACATACATATATATATATATATATATATATATATATATATGTGAAAAATGCTAAATTTTCGACAAACATTGAATTCTCAATCATTTATCTGAAATGTACAAAAATTCAGTGTTAGGAACCTAAAGGTTGAATCCGTTAAATTTAAAACCTGATTACACAAACAACACTGCATGAACTTGACCATTAATGAATGCTAAACATGCAGTAATATATACGTAGAAAGATATGTTACATAGGTATAGAAACCAAAGAACATATAAAAGTAAAAAACTTACAAAGCCTGAGGGCTTCATGTTCCTTCAAATTGCAAATGATACTAATAAAATAAGAAATGACAAATACTAATCAACTGCGATAAAGGGCTTTTCTGTTTCTTCAGAAACACAAGAATCAAGACCTTTCTATATTTGAGAAGAAATAGAAGATTTCCTACTTTTTCCTTTCTTCTTTTGGTTAATATATTGCATATAGAAAATGTTGAAGAAAGAAGAATTGATAATATTAATTATTTGATTGTAGATATGTAGTGGGTGACAGATGACAGAAAGAGAAAAACAGAGAGACAAGAAAAAGATGGAGATTGTTGTACGAGGGAGGAACTGAGTCAATGTCAATGACGCGAAGACTACGGCGACAAAAGGAAATTATATGGAAATTGTGGAAAACATTTCGCGGTTTCCAACTACCTATACCATGTCAAATAGTAAAATGGTCGTCCGGTACGAGGGATAAGGATAATAATTTCGGGATATAATTAGGGTATTTATTTCATGTTTGATTATAGGTGTATGTGATAATATAAAACAGATAAAATATCCGATCCAATTTATAATTAATACGGATAGAAAATGAGGTTAACTGAAGAATAATATGGATATCATATTATCCATGACTTCTTGAATATGATTACTTTTGGGACAATTCATAGTCTATCAAATTGGAGGACCTCCAATTTGAGTTTTTGCAAATGTAAAAGTTAAACTCATTGGGTTATCCTAAGTGGATAATATGGATCTTATCCATATTTTGACCAATTTTTAAGAAGTTCACTATCTAACTACTCACTTTTAATAGATAGTATGGATGGATAAGTATTTTTTTTTTTTATTTTGCCACCACTAGTCGTAAGTATTAGCTAATACCTCCTCCGGTCCACTTTAATTGTTTCTTTGGTTGTTTTCACAAATATTAAGAAATTCACCTTTTAATATTAATTATTAATGAAATTGCATGTTAACCTTTACTATCTCTTTAATTTATTCATCGGAAACATAACAAATACTCTAAGATTCTTTACTCAAATGATAATTTTGGAAAAGAAAATTTAATTCCTTATTGATATTTGAAAAAATCAAGTATTGTGGACCACATAAAAAAGGCAAAAAAAGTAGAAATGACACCAGTTAGCCACTCTAAGGGGCTTCTTAGTCAGTGCGTCCTGAGTTTTAGTTTTTTAGTTCAAAATTTCAGGACAAAAATGTCCTAAATTGTCCTGAAGTTAAGATTTTTAGTTTAAATTTTCAGGACAAAATAAGTACTGACTAATCTCTAAATAGCATCCTTGAGAATTGCTATTTGTACACTTGTCTCGCAAAAAAATCAATTAGAGTGAACCAGAAGGAGTACATGGATAAATTTTTGCATTTAAATAATAGAATTAACTATCTCATATAAAAGATGGAATTACTGATCTCATGAGATATCCTATCCCATGAATTTCCTGATTTATTCCACCATTGAGTTAAACGACTAATTATAAGGATTTAAATTATAGTGTCACAAATATTATTGTTTTCTTAATGATTTGTGCCGCGCCAATATGCGCGCACATTACCTGCTATTTTCAGCTTAACTCTGCCATCACTATTATTGTATTTTAACTTAATAAATTAGGTAATATATCTTTATTCAAGTTATTTATCTCATTTTTTAAGAACATTAATGATATGCAATTATCCTTGGAGACTTTATCTGTGCACAACATGTTTTTTTGGTTTCCTACCCTGTGTCCGGTACCCACATTGAGGCCCAACTAAATCCGGATTCGCGCCGGGAAGTCCCACATAAAGCACTCCCTAACAAAGACGACTCCAGGGGCTCGAACTCGAGACCTCTAGTTAAGGATAAAGGAGTACTTATCACTCCACCACAACCCTTGTTGCTGCACAACATGTTACTTATAAGGTAATATAATGCATGTAAATCTTCATAGTAAACATTAATCGGTTTTTAGGATCTATTAATTGGAGTTATCTTAAGAGTATATAAGTTTTATGCATCGACAATAAAAACAAATATTGACAATCAGGTCATTTCGTAAGCTAATTACATACAAATCTTCAATATAACTGTTACTAATTAATAACCTGCTAAACATGATAACTAATCTACTGTAATATATCAAACAACATCCATCATATAACGTAAATCGTAAACTGATATCTGACAATCAGAAGATAAACTCCTAAATAAGTAGAAACGTTGCTTCTTGAATAACCAAAACATAAACAAAGACAATGAGAGTGGATTCATTATATTACTATAAACGAAATACAAAAATATTTTTCTCCAACAAAGCACGAGGTGTTGTGTCCCTTTGAAAATTGAACAAACACGTTTTACTCTTACTGGCACTCGTGTCTTTGTCACACTTTGGTCTGGTTTCACTCCCATCAACAAACTACACCCTTTGGGAAAACAAAGGGGAAAAAAAAAAAAAAAAGATACAACAAACCATAGCCCTTCGGCCGCCACATACGCTTTCCTTAAAAACAAACGCATACATTAATTAATAGGGAAAATAAAAGTAAAACAAGAAACCCAGATAGTTTTACGAAGATAAAACATTTTGTGAAGCACCTATTTGTCCGCTTAGCTAAAAATATTAACAGTCTAGATTATACATTTGTTGTCTATTTTTTTTTTTTTGATAGGCTGCTATATATTTAGATTAATTTTTCAAACAGTTTTGGAGGATGAGTACATGTAAAAGATAAATATGTACTCCTTCGGTCCACAATAAGTGTCCATTTTACCTTTGGCACACCCATTAAGGAAATATAAACTCCTAGAGAAAAAAAAATTTATTCACTAAATTAACCTTATTTAATTGTTACTCTTGACACATTGGAATATGTAACTAAGGGCAAATTTTGAAAAAATAAAATTAATTCCTTCTTGATTATGTAAACGAACACTTATTTTGGACCAAAATAAAAAGGCAAATTGGTCATTTATTGTGGACCGGAAGGAATAGAAGTTAAGTGAGTTAGGGATAAGATTACTTTTATGGAGAAAGGAGCTAGTCAATTTAATATCATTATTTCCTATGCTTTGGAAAAGGATTAGATGACGACCTTTAGCATATATATAATTGATGATAAGAATAGATGATTATATTCGAGAGAAGTAATTCACAATTATAATCAATAATAGTATGTGATAGAATCTAAGCACACGAACTCTAGATTATTACGCATGCAATCAATGAATGATGACATTGGGGAAGATCGTAGAGAAAGAAAGTAGAGAGAAGGAAGAGGGATTTTCATTACCGTGTTAACTAATTCTGGGAATACACAGTACTAACTAATATAACCACTTCCGGTATTAGTTAGTGGAGGAGAAGTGTGAAATTACTAAACTACCTCTCACTTAGTACACTAAACTATACGCCTCACTCAATACTCCCCCTCAAGCTAGTGGGTGAAAGACATCGAACACACCAGCTTGCATAAGAGAAGCTAATGTTGAGCAGCAGGTAATCCCTTGGTTAATAAGTCTGCAAGCTGTTGAGAGGAGGGAACATGATGAGGAAGAATAAGCCCAGACTTAATTTTTTTTCGTAAAAAATGACAATCAAGCTCAATGGCTTGGTGCGCTCATGGAAAATGAGATTGCTAGCAATTTAGATAGCTGCCTTGTTGTTGCAGAACAGGGACACAAGTTGAGAGATAGTGAGTCCTAGCTCCTGTAACAGACCAACAACCCAAGTAACTTCAGCTACTGCTGCTGCCATGCTCCTATATTCAGCTTCTGCAGAACTTCTACTTACAGGGTTCTGCTTCTTAGACTTCCATGAAATGAGAGCTTCCCCCAGTTTGACAACATATCCTGTGACTGCACTCCTTGTGTTAGTGCAGGAGGAACAATCTAAGTCACAATATGCAGACAAACTGGTGATAGAACCAGCAGGCAGTAACACCCCTAAACTAGGAGAGCCTTTGAGGTATTTTACCACTCTAAACGATGCCTCCAAGTGTGATTGTTTAGGTCTCTCCATGAACTGGCTTAAACTCTGAACTGCAAAGCTAATGTCAAACCTAGTGATGGTGAGGTACAAGAGCTTCCCAATCAATTGCTGGTGACATCTTCCATCTCTAAATCATCAGTCTTTCTTACATGAACATCATAATCAACAATGGTCAATTTTTGATTGAGTTCCAAAGGCGTCTTAGCAGGTTTACACCCACTCAAGCCAACTTGAGAAATAATCTCCAAAGCATACTTTCTTTGGTTAAGCAATGTCCCCCTTTTCGATCTCAACACTTCAATTACAAGAAAGTATCTCAACTCACCAAGGTCTTTAACTTTAAATCGATTGGTCATTTTGGCATCTTCTATCAGTGTTGGATGACTCCCATTAATCAGCAAATCATCCACATAGATGAGGATGAAAACTAAACCATCTCCTCGTCTTTTGGTAAATACAGAGTGGTCAAAGGCACTTTGATTATATCCACTCTCTTTCAAAGCTTTAGTAAGCTTGATATTTCATTATTTGGAGGCTTGTTTAAGCCCATATAAAGACTTCAGAAGCCTACACACTTTGTTCTCCCCCTGTTTGGTAAAGCCTTGGGGCAAATTCATATAAATCACCATGTAGAAAGGCATTATTGATGTCCATTTGATACAAAGGCCAACCTTTGGAAGTGTCTATGCTGATAACACGTCTCAATGTGACCATTTTGGCCACATGTGAAAAAGTATCATGATAATCAAACCCTTCCTTTTGATTGTATCCTTTGGCAGCTAAATGAGCCTTGAAAATCTTTCTACTTCTCCATTTGCTTTGTATTTGACTTTGTAGACCGATTTAGATCAAATGGCTTGCTTTCCTATAGGTAAATCAACCAGTTCCCAAGTGTCATTGTCTTCAAGTGCTTGTATCTCCTGATACATGGCTTCAACCTATCTGTCATCCTGAACTGCCTCCTTGAAAGAGCTAGGTTCAGTGCAAGCTAAAAAAGCTTTCAAATAGGACTGGTATCTTGTCGTTAGATTCCCATAGTATAACCCTTTGGACAAAGGATACAAGCACTGACCAGCAGTACTATTTGTTGTCACATAATCCTTTAACCAAATGGGAGGTTTGGAGATTCTTCCTCCTTTTCTGATATCACGGGTTATCTCCTGAATTTGTGGTCGTTGAGTGGAAGGTTGTGGTGGTTATAGTGACATCCGTGGTGACATTTTTGTGTCACTCAAATTATCTTGTGGAGTGTCTGCTACTGGTGTCAATGTTTCTGTTGAAACTGCATCAGTTGATATAGTAGTTTGATTCTCATGAGCTTCTGGCGAAGTTTCAAAATGTGCCAT